ATGTGTGGGGTCTTACGATGATTCCCAATTTTTTCAATGTTTGTATCAAATTTTTAAGATTGTTGAATCAGTGGGACTTTCTTTCCTTCATCTTCACAAAATCCATATGTGAAGCAATTGATGAGCTTATTTACTGTCATTATTACTTAAAGAGTAGCAATTGAGAATTCTCCTCACTTGTGTTAGTTATTGTCTATGTCCTCTCACTGCAGTGTTCGGCTCCTGATCAATCTAATAAGGAGAAGACTGAAGCTTCCGTGTGAGAACACAAGAGTTTGCTAAAGTTTTTGCATTGGTGATTTCAGAGAGCTGTGATTGTTTGTATCTTAAAAATTGTGAAAGTTCTATGTTGTTGTGTTGCAACTGGTGGGAGATTCGGATGAGATGAGGGATGCTATCTGCGTTGATGAATTTTCTGAATGCCTGTCTCTGGCCACGGTCAGATCAGCAGGGACGTTCAGGCTCAGATTCTGGCGGTCGGCAAGAAGGACTTTTGTGGTACAGAGACTCCGGTCAGCACGTCTGTGGTGACTTCTCCATGGCCGTGGTTCAAGCCAACAACTTGCTCGAGGACCAGAGCCAGCTCGAGTCTGGCTGTCTTAGCACGCACGAGTCTGGTCCCTACGGCACCTTTGTTGGCGTCTACGATGGGCACGGTGGGCCTGAGACATCGCGGTTCATCAATGAGCATATGTTCTACCATCTCAAGAGTGAGTGACTGAGCTCTCTAAACATATCTATAATATCAACCTTTGATTTACTCTTGTTTGGATTGCCAAGACTAGTTAGGTAATCTAAGAGCTTGATTTAGAAGGGTTTCTAAGAAAGGGGTTTTAGTTTTCATTAGGAAGGATCTCATCTTTATCTTCTGTGCACAGGGTTTACTGCAGAGCAACAGTGTATGTCGTCAGAAGTGATAAAGAAAGCCTTTGACGCGACTGAAGAAGGGTTCCTGTCCATAGTTACTAATCAGTTTCCAACGAGACCTCAAATAGCGACAGTTGGATCATGCTGTCTTGTATGCGTCATCTGCGATGGGACGCTCTACGTGGCCAACGCGGGGGACTCAAGGGTCGTGCTGGGACAAGTCATGAGGGCAACCGGTGAAGCTCACGCCAGTCAGCTCTCGACTGAGCACAATGCGTCTATAGAGTCAGTGCGACGGGAACTTCAGGCCCTGCATCCGGACCATCCGGATATTGTGGTTTTAAAACATAACGTTTGGCGAGTAAAAGGAATCATTCAGGTAAAACACTAGTTGGAAACGGTCTTAGGTTTGTATGGCTTACAACAGTTCTTGTCTTTCTGAGTGCCTTTCGGTTTGGACTGTCTTAGGTTTCAAGATCCATTGGCGATGTGTATCTGAAAAGGTCAGAGTTCAACCGGGAACCGCTGTATGCCAAATTCCGCCTCAGGGCACCATTCAGCAAGCCGTTACTGAGTGCAGAGCCTTCGATCACAGAGCATACACTGCAGCCGCATGATCAGTTTATAATATGCGCTTCAGATGGGCTCTGGGAACATATGAGTAACCAAGAAGCAGTAAACATCGTCCAGAGTCATCCGCGTAACGTGAGAAGACCCACTCATTTGTAAAGAGTCTCTAAAAATGTATGTATAATATACACATGAATGATAACAGTCTTTGGTTGTGGTGTTTTGGGAATTTGCAGGGCATTGCAAAGCGGCTGGTGAAAGTTGCGCTTCAAGAAGCAGCAAAGAAGAGAGAGATGAGATACTCAGACCTGAAAAAGATTGACAGAGGCGTAAGACGGCATTTCCATGATGACATAACAGTGGTTGTTGTCTTCTTCGATACAAGCTTAGTGAGCAGAGCCAGCCTGTGGAGAGGACCGGCTGTGTCAGTGAGAGGCGCGGGTGTGAATCTGCCTCACAACAGCTTGGCGCCTTGCACAATGCCCACACAAGCTGCTGCTGCTGCCTCCTGACACCTCTCCCTTGCCTTTGCCCCTATTGAATTTTATGGCCTTGTTAATTCTTTCCAAGATCTGTTGTAACTATATATAAATATATATTTGATTATTATTGACTGGGAAAGATATCATCAAGTGGTAGTTTTGTTTGTTCCTTTGGTTAGTTGTGGACTGGAGAAAGAAAGATGACAAGAATTATATTATTCTTATTTGTTTCCTTTGTACCACTCTGTTTTGCACACTCTTGTTTGCCAACCTTTTTAGTGAAGTTTGGAGATGACTGATTCCAAGTTTCCAACCATGGAGGTATTATTACAGGTTTCTGTTGTTCTGAATAAAATGGACTTATTGAGGTTGAGTAAGTGTAGACAAATAGATTTATTTTCATTATCAAATTCTCTCTGATTGAAAATGCAGCTGCTATATATACAGTCTACTATAGATCTCTGTATTGTA